TCCTGCTGCCTGCCCACCCCCCGACCCCCGCCTAGTAAATCCCTTGAGAGATACTGCAACTGTTGGTGTTCTTCCGCTTCTCAAATTATTAGGCATACACCTTGATTCTCTTAAAAGCTAATAATGTTGTCTTAAGTCTATTGATCTTCAGAAAAGACTTGGCCTTTTGTGGCACCAAGGGCATGTGGAGATACTCGTAAGTCCCTTAACACAAGGATTCTGATTTTCTGTTTTTCAGGAGCTGCATCCTGTGTTACATCTCTCAGGAAGAAAATTTTAGTAATCAATATGTGGTCATATTTCCATCTTCTTCTTGTTAGTGATGTAGTAACTAGTTTCACATATGTCCATGTGATTTGTCTCCTGGACAATAACCCTAGTGATGACCTCTTGACGGTAGGGCTTTTTGGGATGTTTAATCATTCCTCTTCATACTTCTTTTTAAGGGTTTTTGCAAGTCCTAGCCCAGGAAGTTGAAAGTATTTGCCCTTGCTGGCTCTTAATAATGCTATGCGTAAGTGTGTACATCTGTCACAGCTTTAAAGAACTACTGGCTGCTGTATCTGGCAGGTGCTTGGTTTCAGTTAGCATTTGCTTAGCATGCAGCAACAATTTTACGGATCCCAAGAGACTCCCTGCTAGTTTAGGGGCTATGCTGGACTTACTGCATTTATGAAGCTTTTGATTGTGGGGTGGGGTTTTTTGCAGTTTTAGGATAGGTGTTCATACAAAAGCTGTTACTGGTTTGATTTCACAATTTTCTGGTGAAAGTGACACTTCAGAATTTAGTTTAAAATGAACATTGACAGTGACTTAAGGCATGTCTGACCAATGTTCTTAAACTTGTCAAGTTATACCAGAGTCTTCCCATGGCTGAGCACTACCAGGCCTATGCTGTGTACTCACAAGAGACAGGGAAGGGGACAACTAATGGGGCTACAAATGATGATGAGTCGCATGGTCTGATGATTCATTGAGATTACCTTGCTAATATGCAGCACCGTCCCAGGACATCCTGTAAAGTTCGTCTCGGCAGCCTTATTTCTGAGTAATCTGAATTTCTGAACATTTTCCTTGCAGTACTTATCCTTGCTAATGATTTTTGTAATGTCTCCATGTAAGTACTGCACTCAAACCACTCATGGTTGCGGACTGCAAGGTTAGCTATTCTTATCTTAGTAAAATGGGGACATTTCTGGAGATGTAATAAGATGCAGTTAGTTACTGTAAAATACAGGCATTGTTATATCTTGCATTTTGTTACTTGTTTGCAGATCAATATGCTTTATGATTCTTTTGATTTTTCCTGTTTAATGAGGCTGTTTTGCATGTTTTTATCAACACCTTTGTTGATATAATCCATCTCAACACTTGATAACAGTGTTAGTTTCTTAAAGATTCTGCACTGACATACTAGTGACAGAAGAGGAAAAACAGATCAAAGTTCACCGGTACCTGTCAGACACCATTCTGTATTTTTGCCAACAATGACGGCATTCTTTATCCTCTTCCTTATAAATCCCCTTTACCCTTTATGACATTATATGTATCTTCTTCTTTGTGAATGTCAAGTATAGAGATCTGTGCTATGGGTACGATGATCAGAGGTGGCTCACTCAAGCTGAGCTTTTGTCCCTGTCCTCCTTCTAACAGTACTTCAGAGTTGTTGCTCCAAGACTTTGCTGATTATATGTTTTAGTCCCTGATTTCTTTATATGTGTTTGGCTGGCTGGGTGTCCTGAGCTATACTGGGACATTCTTGTTCTAAACAAATCTTCATTACATGAATTTCTTCTTGAGCTCTTAATTCAGTTGTATGGCCATTATTTTGTCGACTAAAATTATCTACTTAGTAATCTGATCCTAGAATTTTTGTGGAGTTTCCCAGTCTGATAGTGTGCTTATCCACTTCCTTGGTTTAGATTTTCCTCAGGTTTTGAGCTAAATAAATGTAAACACTTAGTGATGCATCTTTCTTGGGGGTTGTAGGTACAGCTCTTGCATTATCAAGTGACTGAAAGCATTGCTGAAGCAAAGGAAACTTTCAAGTCTTTAAATAGTTAAAATAATTCTCTAATCTGTCTTGAAGATCTCAAAGCTGTTAGAATTTTAAAAAAGGTTGGCATGCTTTCACTGTTGGAAATCACTTTAGTAGAGGAGCTGGAAAAATGGAGACAGTGTGTGTTTGGTATGAAAGTATTAGAAAAAAATTAACAGATTAATTGTTGAGAAATCCTGGCTAAATACCTAGTAGTAAAATCTGCTGGGATGTTGAAGCTGCCTTTGACCACAGCAGCCTCTGGTATAGCTAGGATGAGATTTTCATTGTTGCATTTCATGTATCTATTTCAGTCATATCCAATAAGCAATGAAGTAGAACAGGTGGGTTGTGTTGTGGTTCTTTTCCTGCTGCTGTTGATGACACTAGCCTGAATGTTAATGGGAGCCAACTGTAAAGTGATGAGACCTAATAACTAAAAATCTTCCTATGTGATAGCCATAAACTGTTAATCCAGTAACTGTGTAATGTTTCTTTTCTTTTAACTTGTCAGTTTCTGATTCCAGACTTGATGTCATGTGTTTCTTTTGCATCTACATACTGACTTGCAAGTGGTTGTTTGAAATTAGAATACTATTTAAAACCCTGACTCTTGTGCACTTTAATTTAAATATCCTTTCAACTAGATACTGGTATTTAATAACCATTTGCTCTTTGTAACATAACCAAATGGTAAGGCTGAAGAATATAAATAACTTTTGAACTGTTTATAAGTACTTCATGATCATACTGTTGAAAGATACCAAGACTTTTCTTTTGGGGAATAACACATAGAAATGCACACCAAAAGCAAGTAATTTTAATATTATTTGCCATTACCAAATCTGCTGATTTTTACACTGCCTGGTTTAGATGATTCCCTCCTTTTCAAACATGGAGGCAATCATTATTTGTATTGGGGTTGACCCTCAGAGTATAACTTCTGGATCCAAGGCCCTTGTGCTTGTCAGTATAGGATGGGATGATGGTTGTTTGCGTTTGGTTTTTGGGTTTGTTTTTCTTATCTGAAGTAGTTTGAAGTTGTAAGATGTAAGACACAAGCCCATCCAGGTTTGTGGGGAAACGGTAAAGCAACACAGCTCAGGAGGAGAGCTAGTGGCCTTAACATACGCTGAAACAGTCTGCTTTTACTATTCCTATTTTTGTGTACTCTCATAACCAATTTGACTAAGACAGCAGTGCAATACTAAGCTGTTTTGTCTAGCACTAGGTACTAGTGCTGGCATCACTGCAAGCTGTACTGGCCTTACTTTGGGAGAAATTATTTCCAAAGGAGGTATTTCTGGCAGTGACATCAGATGACTTTGTATCTTTATGCCTGCCAATAAGTAAGCTATGTGTGAGTTTGACAGTCCGTCATCTGAACAAGTTCTTTCACAGCTTGGGGTTCCTGAGTATCATGCAGTTTGATATGGCTTGTACTCTGGAGGTGAGGGAAGTCAAGACGGCACTCTTCACAATCAGGAAGGCCATGGACTGCTTCAGTCTCCTGAGCTCAGCATGGAAACTAGGTAGATTATAGCAGGGTTTTTTTCCCCATCCTTCTACCTTTTGGGTAAAATGCAGCTATTCTGTAGTTAGCTGCCATGCAAAATGTAACCACAATGACTCCAGAGGAATCAATGTCACTTTGGCAATTTGGTCAGTGTTTTTAGTGGCACAGTTCCTTAATTATGAATGTCGCTTAATACAAATAACACAGCTCTGCTTTTCCTAGCAAGTAGGAAACTGAATTTGCAAGGCTCCTATCCTTTTAAGCTTATAATGAGTACTCAAGAGTGTGTACATATAGCCACATAGTGTGCTCACCATCCAGTGCCCAAGCATGCTGATGGGGTTAGCAAGTGTGAAAAATGCCTTATTAAACTGATCTGTTTTCAGCCTCTGACAGTGACATGTTTTTAGTGGAAATGGTAGATGTCACTATTTCCAGGAATGTCTTTAAGGTTTCTCAAGTGGGAAGTGGCTGGCTTTGAATTTCAGTGTAGGGTTTTTTATATAAATTGGTCACTCTTATTAGTCAGCTTAAATTCTGTTTTCTTTCAGATGGGGTGTTCTTTGTTTTGTGTTCAGAACATGTTTCAAAGTAATCATTAATTTGGGCATTATATTTTCATGTGAGTATTGAGGGGGGGAAAATTAGAGCTGCTCTTTTCATAGCTGGTTTAGAGGAATTCTCTGTTCATCTTGGAAGGGCAGGGCTTTGGCTTGGTCCTGGGGTAGGTAGGCTGTTGATTAAGCTTGTGGGGTTGTTAAAGCCTGTCACTACACAGCTGTTTGTTTTTCTAAGGCTTCCAAAATCCAGATTTGGCAAAAATGAACCCCTGTTACATCTGGTATGGATACCTTGCCTCAAGAGACATGTTAACCTGCTATTCAGTGTTGACATGTATGAGAAAAGCTGCTGTCATCTGTTGGATTTTTAAAGCTGTTTTAACTCTTATGTTATATTTCAGTAAGCTTACATGTCTATGAACAAGGTGCCCATATCTTGGGGGGTAAACACTACCTTGTATACTGTGTTGTCAAGAGTGGACTGGAAATCCACAGCAAGTCAGTGCCTTGATTTGACTTCAGTGGATGATGTTGAAGATGTTTGATATAAATTCTTGCTGAGAGTAAAACCAGCTTACTGTGTTATGTTTTAATAACAATTTTTTTCATTATATCCCTCCTGTGCATGCACAATACCTTCAGTCTGAAAAAATTTCTACTACTGTATTTTCTTCTTTGGTAATATTATTCATAAAGCTTTGAAAATGTATGTTTTCTGGAAGCCAATAACTTTTAAAAATATTATTGCAGTACCTGCTCTGGTCATCACTGCCACAACTTTGAAAATGGAGGTGGTTTCAGCAGAAGTCAACAGCTTGCTCCCTGAGGAAATAATGGACACTGGAATAACTCTGGTGGAAGATGACAGCATTGAGGCAGTTATCGTGTCATCGCCGATGGGAGACTCTATTCCCATGGAAACAGAACTGGAAGAAATAGTGAACATAAGCTCCACCAGCGACTCCTCATCAACAACTACGGCTACAGTCACGACAGAATCAGTTACTGCACCCAGCAATCACTCAGGTGATGCAACAGTAAACACCACAACCTCAAAAACTGATGTGAATGCAGTAGCAAAGCCGACCTTTCCAAGTGGCCTCCATAAACTCGGTGCTCAGACCCCTGTCACTATATCAGCCAATCAAATTATTCTGAACAAGACTACCGATATTAAAATAGGCAATCAGAGTATTAAACCAGATGGGCAAAAGCTAATTGTAACAACTTTGGGCAAGTCTGGCCAACCTATTGTTTTAGCACTACCCCACAGCCAACTTCCACAGGCACAGAAGACCACATCCCAAGCCCAAGGTGGAGACTCCAAGGTACAAGGCCAGCAGATCAAAGTTGTTATTGGAGGTCGGTCGGAAGTGAAACCTGTTGTTGGTGTCTCAGCGTTGACGCAAGGAAGTCAGCTGATAAACACCGCGGCTCAGCCTTTGCAGACCCAGCAATTAAAAACAGTACAGGTAAAGTGAGTTATGCTGATGAAACATCTAAAAACAATTTTGTTGCTGCAGCTGTTGTCTGTTTCCTTCACTGATTGACATATGGTTGCTTTTAGTCTTTGCATTTATTCCTTGTATTAAAAAGTACAATGCTGCTCTTACCCCATGCTTTCATCTGCATATGCATTTACCATTTTATGTCCTTTACCTCTGTCTACGGTCTAGAAACGGGATTTGCCTCAGAGAAAGTGAACTATTAAAATTTAGTAAATTGAAGAGAATTTTCCCATTATTTTCACTTTATAAAAATAAATTTTATATGCTTTCAGGAAGACTGAATTGAACTCTATATGCCTGTTTTCCTTTATTCAAAGTGTATTCTGCTTTACTCCATTATGAAAGAGTAGCTTCTTCCTATTATGTTTAGTTTGTTTAAATAATAAACTCTGCAAAAAAACTTCCAGCATTTCAAAAAGAACAGAAAGGCATATCTTGTCTGCTTCAAATCTAGTTAACCTTGTTAGTAGATACGGATAGACTAGATGCTGTCAAAGCTGGACACTTCAAGGTCTTGTTCCCGATCTCTGGTATGGATCTTGAGGTACTTGAAACCACAGAGAATCTTCTGGGATCTGAAATTGTGTTGAAAAGACTTGAGTTATGACCCAAAGGGTCTGATTTTCATGTGGTGTATGGCAGACCTTAATGTGAGTGACTTTGTCCTAGTTGGCAGTGAGGCAGAAATAAGACCTCATGAAAGTGAAGAAGTAGAACTTGATGCAGGTTATGATGGAAAAATATTTATTTTACAGTCTAAATGAAATGAGGAATTAAACTCTAAATATGCTAATAAAAACTAATTTGCTGCACATGAAAAATTACAAACTTTTAAGAATGTTATTAGCCAAATGGTAAGTTCCCTGACTAGTATTTCATGGAAAGCAAAATGTGAGCAACTTTCAAGATGGCTTGTTTTAAAGCTGCAGATGATCCCTGCACCAATTTCTTCTTTCTCCTTTTTTTGTTGCTATATCATACCTGTGGAAAACATGTTCAATAATGGCTGTTTGAAACATACCAATTTTCTTAAGTGACTTTTATTTTTGTACTTTGATCATTAATGATATGGTTGTCATAGCTTTCAAAAAAGCCTCTGCTTCTTGACTCAGCATAGGAATGTTTGAGGGGATCAGTTCCTGTTACTTGGCTTCAGTTACTCACTGCCAAGTGACAGATACAGGAGATGGAGGAGAATGACTTAGCTGTGATGTGCTTTTGGTTGCATGAGATGACATGTGCTAACAGTGACTTGGCGATTGACCTCTGCTGTTTGTCCTTAGGAATTCTACAGGTTCCCTAATAGAAGGTGTTAAAAATGGACTTGCATCCATTTGTAAATCTAGTTAATTGCTGTTTGAGTAAATTGGTTTTGTTGTGGTCTCTTTTTATTAAATTTTGCTTCCATTTGCAAAACAGATTGAATCGTTAACACCTGGCATTCCGTTTTTTCTATAAGGAGGGGAGGAAGTAGAAATGAAAAGCAAGAGGCAATATAATATTCATTATAAGTACCTGATACTGCAGGGAAGATGATTACATTAGCACTTACTAGACAGTGATTTTTCACTGTAGGAAAGTATCAGAGGGATATATGAGGTTAGGCGAGAGATTCATGGTCTACCCTATCATGAATGACAGGGCAGGTAACTTGTGCCCTGAGTCCTTGGCTTAGAAAATGAAGTGATGCATTAACCCCATCATCCTGAACAAGCCTCTTAACCTTTTGGTGAGTGGAAAAGGAAGCTATGAATGCCTCCCTGCCTCCCAAGGGTCTTGTCTAACTTATCTCTTGTGGCTTTGTGAATCGTGTATTTCAGATGCAAGGCAGCACAGCAGTTCAACTTGGTGCTGCAAAGTTAATTGGTAAAAGATAAGACGACAAAGCTCTCTTCAGTTCTCCTTACATCCTCACTGTCACGGAGGCTTTGCACAAGGTCATTAGAGAAACTCAGCCTTGCTGTAATCTTAATTGTGACATTGGAAATCTCAGCACTTGAGAAAAGGCATAATTGATAGAGTTGAGCAAAATGTTCCTTGGAATCTGGCTCCCTCTCTGATTACAATTTTAGAGGTATGAGGCTGTGAGGTGTAAAATGTGGCAGGACCTTGGGCTTCATCTATATGCAGATGTTTATTTCTGTCCCTTGGCAGCTTGTTCTCATTTAGTTGAAACCACTGCCCTGGATGTGTGGGCAAAACCACTGCGCAAGTGCATCTGCTTTCAGCCTGTGGCTCCTGCCTGTGTACAGGCTTAAAAACAATGATGTGCCTGCTGGTGTACTACTTTAGTCTGAGTGCATTAAGCAGGAGTTTGGCCTTGCAGATGATTCCCAATCAGGTGTCCCAACCCATCGCCATTGCTGTCACTAAGCTAGTCTAACTTGAACTTGTGTTGATGTGATAACTGGCTCTGTGTTTCAGCAGTTAAATCTACGTGTCCATAGCACCATTGCTACCATGGCAAGACAAATGCTAAGCCATCGTTGTGGCTTCATCTCTTCATGGAAAAGTGACCTTGTGCACTTTCGAACCTCAGAGCAAACTCCCATTCCTAGCTCGGTTTCTTCATCTTCTCTGAAGTATACTATTCTATTTCTAGAGTCCCTGATTTTTTGTATTATGCCAAATATAAATTACATAAAGCATGGCTACATGGACAAGCTCCCATGAGGTCATCTAGGGAATGGATCTATAGTATGTTAGCTCCTTTGTGGTAGCTGACTATGTGGGTATTTGATCCACCAGTAAATGTGAGGTATGCGTGAGCCTTTTTCTGTATGAATAGAACACGTTTTGACAGCTGAAAACAAAGTCCGGCTGTAGAAACTTGCTAGTTCATCTTGTTTAGTGGACAATGCTTAGGAAGACACAAATTAAACCTTTAAATAAAGATGCTTGCAGATAAATCTCTTTACTTCTGTAGGGGGAAGAAGGTTGGTGTGTGCTTCTAAATGTAACAATTTTCTTATGGAAGAGCTTGTTGCCCCAAGAAATATTTTGCAGTTTAATTCAAATTAACTTGCAGAGAGCATGCTTAGCTTACATAGGCAGAGGAATAATGTTAAGCTTCTTGTTATTAGTACAGGCAATGTCAGAGGGCTCCAGAGAACTTGCTCTTTCTGAAGCATCAAAGGGGCAGTCTGTCATCCTGATTATTTCATCTGGCTTCTCCTGTCTCTATTGAAATGGGTAACGAGTTTCCCACTGATGTCTAGAAGGCTTTCACAGGTGGCTGGGGTTATGAGCTCCAGTGGTAAAAACCTCAGAAAGGCTCCCTTGGCTGCAAGTAAGGGCAGGAAGGCACTGCCTGCACTTGGGAGCCAAGGGCTGTTCCTCACCTATAACCACATTTGAGTTTTGCCATATTTCCTAAGCCCTGAGGGGATTCACTCATTTGTTAGATCTCCTACTTCCTAGACAAACCGTTCACTCAAAAAGCAGGGGGGAATTTATCTGAGGACGATACTGCAAAATTGAGTCTGAGGGAAGCAGAGCTACTTGTGTTGACCAGCTATTCTTTGGGATTTTTACATTTTTTCTGAAATACTTCATGTTAATGGGTGGCTAGTATTTTACACTTACTCATGTAAGTCATTTAAGCACACTTATTGACTGTTACTGGGAAATTACTGCAGTTGTCCAGAGCTGGCTGTTCCTGCTAGATGTTGATCACATTCTGAGACAGACTTTGCCCTCACTTCAGAGAGTAAAAGCAATAGCGGTTGAGTTACAATAATACCTTATGGCAGGGTAAGATTAATTTCAGCAGAACGGAAATCTCAAATCAAGCAGATGAAATGCGGGGAATTTATCAGGAATTAAAATGTGTGCAAATTTACTAAAAAATGTACTGATAAAATGCCTGCTCATCTATCAGCTGTGTATGTGCTAAAAGAACTCGAAATGTTAAAATGGCTTGGGTTAAATTTGTAAACCGTGAATGAAGCTTTCCTCTTCAAACAATTTGTTTGTGAAGGTTTTTGTTAATACCTCTCCATAAAGAGCAGGTTTTTTTCTTTTCTGTTTCATTTTAAGCCTTGACCATTGTATGCTACCTCTAAAGCAGGTAATGAGGCCTGAGTGCAGCATGTTTGAGCAAATGACCTTCAGACCAATGGTCTGAGGTGGAGGTTTCCTCTGAGGAACACTTGTACTGTAACTGTGGAGTGGCACACAGCTTCCATTAAATGAAATTAGTTTTCTGGCACTGCCCAGTGTCAGAACTGCTCATTGCTGGCTTCCCTTGGCAGGGCACAGCTCAGGCACACAGAGGTGGCATTTGCTTTCCATGCGAGGCTGGAGGACTTCAGTGCCATAGCAGGAGTGGACCTCCAGCTTCCCCAGCCATGCTGTGAGTGTGCTGCTGGGAGCTGAAACAGCCTCACATATGCTCTTTGTGGGGCAGCTGGGGAATTCATTATGTGCTACTGAATATACTTTGAAAATTTTGGTGTCTACTCTACTGTAGAGGAGGTGTCAGCAAATTTTATAAATAGGGGTTTGTGTAGGAAACCATAACATACAGCCTACTCAATTGCTTCATTTAAGCACTCACAACTTTCTCAGGCTGTTAAAAGTAGCTGTCGTTACTGTATCTTTGCACGTCAGTGAGATTTCTCCAGTTACCTACTTGAGTAACAAAGGTGGTTCTGCGCCTTTGAGGAGTGGCTCCCCACGTGGATGCCAATGTTGTGCCTCTCTGATATTGCTGGAGTTGGTGGCTGGGTGTGTGTGGTGGGGAGAGGCGGTGTGGGGCTGACCTGTGGGGTGTAAGTGCATCAGTAACGCCTTCCAGTGTGCTCACTCGGACTAGCAAAAGTCCACATCTGTAGGCAGCCTCAGCAGTCAACAGGTTAAAATACTGTTTGAAAGAAGTCAACCTCTTAATTGAACTATTCACCAGCTGGATGCTGGTGTACAGAAACTATTAGGATAAATGCATCTGGTAGTTAACTTCTGTAAGTGTGGAAAAGGGGAACAAGTTTTGCTTAAGACTTTTAAGACTGTAAAATGCTGCTTATAAACATTTCAATTTGAAGTGATCCATTTCATCAAATTGCACATACATGTTCCTGGTCCAGCTGTGTTTCAGGAGACGTGATCATGGAAGGAAAAAAAGACCCACTTGTGCTTGGATGTAGCCAACTGATTTTTCTTGGCTAGTGAGTACCTAAAACTTTCCCAGACTCACAATCCACATACTTTTTAAGTTTACCCGTTTGCAGGATAAAAGTGTGCTGCTATATCAGAATAGGTCAAGAGATGTTTCAGAGCAGTAGTTGTCATATTTAAATCACTTTAGGAACAACTTTTTTCCTGGTTGGCTGAAAAAGAAGTGACTTTCTTTAAAGCTTTAAGTATTGAGTTGTGCATTTCACTTTAACATTTTTATATAAAGCAACAGCATGTAATAAATAATTTCAGCATCTTGAAGATGAGGTATGTTTGCACAGAAAGATATCTTATGAAAAAGCTGTAAGGGATTTGGCTATCCTGCTTTGGTGGCTGGTTTTCTAAAGTGGCATGGATGATAACCTAGTTCTCTCCATAGTGAGAAATGGAGGTAAAATGTGAGATAAGCAATTATTCTTCTAATTATGTGTGCAAGTATTGCCCTTTTTGTTTTCTAATGTACTTAACAATACAATAATTTAGATCCAAGATGCTCAAGTTACTTTAGATCTTTTTTCCTCTATCTTTCAGATTGCAAAGAAGACCCGAACCCCAACTTCTGGCCCGGTGATCACCAAGCTGATCTTTGCAAAACCAATTAACAGCAAAGCTGTTACAGGGCAGACCACTCAAGTGTCACCAGTCATTGCAGGTTGTACTACTTTGACTTAGTTTGCTTTACCATTTTTAAAGGCTTTTCAAAGAGATGGTGGTTGTAGAAATTTTTCTGTCTCGGTGTAGTTTCTGTTGAAGTACCTCAAGCAATTGAGGGGGAAAAAAAAAAAACAAACCACAAACAGAATTTTGTAGAAGCGGTTAAATGGAGTTATTGGTACCTTTACACTTTCCTCATTTAGAATTATCTTTGTGATTGTCGAGTTTGATCATTTTGCTTTTACTGTAAGATGCTTTTACTTTCTGGATTTGGGGGAGAAAAAAAAATACCTCACAGCCAGAGAAAAGGCTACTTGATAAAAAGAAAGTATTTGTAAATACATTATATAAAGACACATGGGGGAAAAAGGAGACACATGCTTTTGTATTGCTTTAATCTGCTTATAGTTGGACTTAAAGGTAATACTTGCAAATAACAGGGAAAAATGTTTGAGTGAAAAAAATGTGAATAAAGCTGTGTTGTTTCTGTTAAGTTGCTCACCTACTTCAAAAATAAGCATCACAGAAGAGTCAAAGAAAGTAATTTAGGCAAATAAGAAATAGTTTCTCTCTTTGGAAAACAAACCTATGTTTGTGTCCTTCAAAAAAAACCCCAAATTAAAGAGAAAAAAAACCCCATAATTTGCTGATTATGACAGTGGGGCTGATGTGTCCCTTGATAAATGTATCACTGCATGTATGCATGTAACATCTGAGACATGTAAATTATCTCAAAAGGACAAATGTAGGAAGCCAGAGTCGTCTTCAGAGCTTTGAAGAATGCCTCCAACTGCTTCCAGATTGACCAACCCAAGTAGGCCTGAAATCTTTTCCACATATTTAAATGATTTTTTTTTTTTTAAGCCTTTACAGAATTGGGACTTGCGGTGGTTTTGAAAAGAATGCAACTGTCTCTTGTATTCAAAACTTTGATAGATACAAGTGAATGGCACATAACTGAAATATAATCTTTTTCTTGAATTGTCAGGCTGCCTGCACCCTGAAGCCCAACTCGTGTTTCAGGTGAAAGAGGGATTCCCTATCCCACTCCCTAGTTTTTCCCCTTTCTCAAACAATTCTGTACAAATGTACAGACCTGTGAATAAGAAGATTGCTTCACTATGTTTATAAATACTTGAATTAAGCTGTTTGTGTGATTTAAAAAAAAAAACCAACACACATTTAAAAACCCTGAAACTAGCTACTTGGAGCTGTGTTACATTTTCATCTGGCAATTCATATGTAAATTGGTAAACACTAAGGAACCACAACAAAAATAATACTAACAAGAGCATGTTTTTAAGTTTGCTGCCTCCAGAATGAAGGGAAATGTCCAAATCAAAACATACCTACATAAAATTGACAAAATAAACAAAAGTCCAGCTTTTAAATCAGTAGGTTGGAAAATGAAGAGTACCTGTCCCTGAGCCTGTGAGAGAATCATCACTGGGAAGTGAAGATGCTTGTCTAATTGAGAGGGAAATCTTTTTAAATATTTGTCTTCTCTCCATCCCAAACAGCCAGCACAGCTTGCCAGCTTTGAGAGGCTGGCATCACTTTGGGGAAAGTGTAACATTTGTATGTTGTGTTTTGATTTTGTATGCATGTTTTTATGAATCTGATAAGTATTATCAGATTCTCAGATTATCTGATAAGCCTGGGAATTTCTGCAAACTGAGGTGGAAGTTGTAAATTTGAAAGACTTGGTAATAAAAGCAGCCAGATTCTGTTTAGGAAGCTGATGCCAAGGGGCGCAGATGGAATGTAGTGAGAAAGGGAAAGCTGTCACCAGGACAAAGCAAACTCAAAGCACTGAATACTGTAGATGGTAAAATTCTCATAGACTCTGATGCTTTTCAGGTTGCATGTGGCTTTAGTAGCTGCTGGCAGCTATCTGCACTGTTACGTAGGCTGCACAAAAGGTTATTTTGGAGCACCTAGGCCTCAGAGGAAGGCAGCTTTCCACAAGGATGATGTTTTTTCTTGTTAGTTCCAGTTGACTTAATTATCATGCCCCTTGTTTGTTTTGGATGGAAAAGTTATGCTGGTGTTTGTTTCTTTCTTATTTTGATAAATGTAGTACAAGAGAATGGGTAACAGAAGCTATGATGGAAATGAGTCTGAGCCAAAGTGCAACAGAGGAAAGCTCAGTGGTCAAGCACTCTTTGGAAAGAAACTTAGAAGTATGAAGAAAAAAGAAAAAGTTTTCCACTCTGGGAGTTTTGCACTATTCCTAAGACTGATTTCATGATTTGGAGCTGCTGGTTTTGATGTTGAACCTTTTTTGCTGTTGTAAAAGCAGATAGTTTGTCGAGTTACACCACCACCCATATTTTCCTGGGAGTGTCATATATTCTATTAGGCAGTGGAAAAAAAAACACCAACACAGAAGAAAAAAAAAAAACAAAAAACTTAGAGTTGAGTGTAGACAGACCAAACACCTTTTTTGTGGTCACTGTAACACAGCTTGTTTCTGATGGCTGACATTTTAAGAGGAAGTAGCCCCCCCCCCGATGCTCAGTTTCTCTGTACATTTGCAGCAGCCCAGGGAGTTCCTAGGAAACTGCCAGCTGGCTAGGTGTTTGTGTGGAGTGCGGGTGTATTGGAAGGCTGCACACCTCAGGATGCTCTCCTGGCTTTAAAGAATTTTCAGCTGAATGTCACAGAAAGCTCAATGTACATTTCTGTTTTTTAAGCCCAAGTGAACTGTCTTTTTATTTGCAATAATGCCAATTATTTTCTTTATTGCTAAATCTAATTTAAAGAATGCTGATGTCCTTCCTACCAGGTAATGGACTCTCAGAAGTAGAGATCAATTGCATGATATGCAGAGAAAACTTTTAAAGAAAAGTTAACGTATAAACAGGGATAACGAGCTGATGGTATCTTCATTGTTTATAGGTAGGGTTCTTTCACAGTCTGCTCCAGGAACACCACCAAAGACAATAACGATCTCTGAGAGCGGAGTCATTGGATCATCTTTGAGTACAGCAACACAACAGACACCAAATAAAATAGCTATCTCACCGCTTAAATCCCCTAATAAGGTAAGGACCTGATTCTGGCTGTAGTCTTCTATCCCTCCTGCACAGTGGTCTGAATGGAGCTCTCTGTTGTCTTTGCTACAGGCTGTTTATGATCCAGCCCCTCCAGAGTCGCCCTCACTATGCTCTGCAGTAATCATCTAAGCTGCATTTTTTGTAATTGGCTCCCATACTATGGTTTTAAGTAAATATGCATTACTGCATTAGTTTCCCATTCCTGCCATTTCTTGCCATTCCCTAAGCATCCACTCCAAGAGCACCTGTTCTCTCTTAACCAAGTGATCAAACAGTATCTTTTTTAATGCCTTCATAAAGTGTCAACAGGCTGTTTAAGAGGAGACCTCAGTGATGTTAATAGGTCAGCACTGATTAACCATTGCCTGCTACTGCATGGATAATTTAGTCTTCCCTAATCACATCTGAAGTAAATGAGATTTTCAGTGGTCCTTGACGAATACAGAGCTGGAGATTGGCACAGGTGGGCAATAGATAGAAAAGGTAACTCATCCATTGTAAGCTGTTACAGACGAGTCTCATGGTGCGGCTTGTATTTTAGACTTGATAAAATTTTCCTGAGAAGAGAGATATTGATGGAGAAAGGAAGAGTTGGAGTGCAAGACGCATAGTGCATGCAAACAAAATACCATGTATAAAAACTAGCATAAGAGTAAAGAATTCTCTTAGTTTGTCTATGGTTTAGCTATGTAATGTTATACAAATGGAGTGAAGGACTTCTGTTTGAGAATTATTAGTGAGGGAAACAATATGAGGAAAAAGTTTAAAAAATATATAAATCTAGAATCAAAATTGACAGCAAGTGGGGGTAAAAAGACTCTTCAGGGTTACATCTTGAATTTACTGTAGATAAGTAATTCCAGTATCTTTTAAAAGCCAATGGTTTAAAAAATTGGGAGTTTTCTTAAAACATAAAGAAGGAAGTTTGGAACAAAAACTAGAAAACCAACCTTGGAAGGGATGTGGCTATATAGAATACAGTATTCAAACACTGCAGAAATGCAGTCAGAAGACTGGATCTCTATAGGAACCTGGAAAGTAGATTTGAAAATACTGATGTTCTTATTCTTTGGCTGAATCAGTAGTGTAAGGTGAGATTGTGCCTGTCATCTGTTCCCCCACCATGTTTCTTTTAAAATTTCCATTTATGATGAAATAGTCATGGTACCAATTATAAAGCTGTTTTTCGGAAAATCCATCCTGACAATACTCAGGCTTCAATGGGCTAGTTTCCAAAAAAGAAAAAAAAAAAAATCCACCCAAAAAAACCCCAAAGCAAAAAAACAGAAGCAGTGCTAGGTTTCTGCAGGGGCCTTTTGGTGCTGGAAACCAGCAATGCCTTGAAGTTTCTAATGTGTCTGTGTGCACTGTTGCACAGTCAGACCCACATGAGTTGTGATTAAATACAGCATCCTTGTTCACAGAAGGAACTCTTTGTACTGGTGGAGAACTGTACTTTCCTGAGGAGAGGAATGTATATGTACAGGGTCTTGTATCCTGCGCAGAGATTTGAACTGCTTCTTTGTTTTGCCAAGCAGCTAACAGTGGTGTCAGTGGCCTCCCAGCCTCCCAGCTCCCCCCAGAAGACGGTGGGTGTCCCACTGAATGTAGCTTTAGGACAGCAGATCCTCACAGTGCAGCAGTCAGCGCCCTCCTCCCCTGGGAAGGCTATAGTCAACCACACAACCGCCCAGGTACAGACTGACTTTCCTTTGTTTTCTGGTGTGTCTCTGTCTTATTGCTTGCGGGGAACTGGAGTGTTAAAGCGCAAATTGGCAGTGGTCAGTCCCCAGGTATTCTTGTAAGGGTGTTTTCTTAAGAATTGGCAAAAGCATTGCTCTGAGGAGCACGTGCTTCTTCAATCGAGGGGCACAAACCATTGCAAGCCTGTACAAGGGCATGCTGTTAGGAAGCAGCTTTCCAGCCTGGAAAGCCCCACTTTGGTGCAAGTTCTTGTCTCTGTATGCTGAATATCCCAAGTCATCTGAAAGGCTCCCTATGACACACAGAAGAGTTCTTTGGGTGGTTCTCTCTCTTCTACCAGTGTTTCTATGCTGCTGACTAGGGCTGCTTTTCAGGTGTTTCTGAGGTTTGCAACAATGGAGTTCACATTGTTGTGGTAGAGGTCTGCGTAAGAAAGACACCATAGTCTGAGACCTACAGAATTAGAAATTATTAATTTTCTGTGTCTCATTTCTACAAAAATATCAGGGTTTTCCATAATAGCTTTGAAAAATTAATTTGCATTAATGAATGACAAGACAAAACTGACTTTTCTTACAAACAACAGTTCTTACTCTTTTCTTTTGTAATCTTAGGTGAATCTTTTTCTATCTTAATGTCTGTATTCCTGTTTTGGTAAACATAAAGGAATGCATATGAGTGTAAATAACCAGAGTGGGTATAGCAGGAACTGGACACAGTTGCATGTATAGCACGAGACCAGAGACTCAAACAGATTTTTTCAGTCTCGTCTTACCAATACAGGTGATAATTAGAATGCTGATATGGGGACACGGACACCAGGATGATTAGTTCTTTTTTCCACAGTAAAACTGGCAAAATTGTCTTTTTAAAACAGTTGTTAAAAGGTTAAGTCACTCTAATGCAGTCACCAGAAGTGACAAAACAGAGATGGCTGTGTGGTATTCATACAGAGTGCTGCTCCAAAGCTCTTTGACACAACACAGGGGTTCCACCTGTCTTTACTGGGCTCTCAAGAACATGCCCTTAGAAGAACTGTCACTTGAATCTTACAACTTTCCCAGTTGTCCTTGGATGGCAGCCACTAATTTGTGTGCTAGTGGGAACTTTGCCCATGCTGGTCCCCTGTGATAACACTTAGGCTGTGACTGTGCTTGCAGATAGTGCTTATTTTGAATTGCTCTAGGTTGTTGAGGTTTCAGTATAATTAAAAAAAAAAAAGGAATTCCAAGAAAAACACCTTCTTTTAAAAGGCTGGGCTTATGTTTCTAGTGAAATACATGCAAATTGAGGTTTCATTTGTGTAGTTACTGAAAGCTGGGGAGCTGGGAAAATGTTCTTATAAGTAGTCACATGATGCTATCAACCAAATTTAATACTAAAACTTAATGTCAAGGACAATGATACGTTTAATATTGATAGTAAAAGATACTGAGAATAAAAAGCTGATCTTCAAAACAAGTTAGATGGAAGGAAAAAAGGGAGGAATAAACCATGGGTTGAGGTTGTCAGCAAGGCTGGAAAAAGAGACTTTTATCAAACTGGTAGACTTATGTCTAAATAAAATAAACACTTGCTTGTTATCAGTTTGTAGTTTCAGAGAAATTGGAAAGATGAAGTCTTGCAAATTCCAGATGTACTGTTATTCCAGCTGTGAGGTAGCACAAGTCTGCCAAACTCCCTTTCTTTCTCCTTTTTGCTTTTTTTTCTCAATAAATTTGTTTTGTTGCTCTTCATTGTTCTTACTTCTTTCATTTCTCAGCTTGTGCCCTCTTATGTCTTCAGCAACCAGTTTATGGACTCTGTTCCATTTCCTTCTCAAGGGTTGCACAGTGATTTCTGTGTATTAATTACAAATTGTCTTAACAGGACACACTCTGTGCACACAGAGACAAATCATGCCACGGTCCAGCGTGAATAGTTATGCAAGTTCTTACCATGTGTTTTTATTAGGAATATTTCTAAGTTTGTTCATTGCTTGATTTTTGAATGCAAACAGCAATGTACTCTGTAGTCACCTGAAGTGGTTTTGGCAGACATTGTATCTGGGGAGGTGGACTGAGTCACCCTACTCATCTAAATATTGGTTTACTCTGGTGTTTTGTGTAGAGCATTGAAAATGGAACTGAGTTTGCTCTGAGCTATTGAGAGGCATTTAATCTCTTAGCATCTAAACATGCTCATGTTCTTTCTGCCTTTGTACAAATAACTTTATGTTGTCTGTGTTGGCTTAACAGGCTGTGAAATCAGCAGTGCAAACCATTACTGTAGGAGGAGTGGGTACATCTCAATTTAAGACAATTATTCCCTTGGCAACTGCACCCAATGTTCAGCAGATTCAGGTACCTGGAAGCAAGTTCCATTATGTCAGACTTGTTACTGCCACAACAGCCAATAGTTCAACCCAATCGGCCAGTCAAAATTCCAGTACAAGTACACAGCCTCTTCAACAGGGTAAGTGCTAGTGTTAAGGTATTGTCTGAAGTAAGGTTTTTTTCCTGGTTTTTTTCTTGTTTTGTAAGGATTAAAATGAGTACATAATAGAGATCTATCAAGACTGCCAGATTGTGGTGGACTCCTATAAATTTCTTCTACTGTTTTGTAGTAGTAGAAATGTGTTTGTATGTGGAAATGTTTCTCTGTGTCAAATTGCTCTGTAGTTGGGCCTGAATCCTTGGAGCATTTTAGGTTGCTTTTCCCTAGTTTACTAGCTTTATGGGTGACTCATGGCAAGTCTGAGATCCTCTATATGAAAAGTGTGAAGCCAGGACAGCCCACATCATATTGCCAAAACTCCTGCAACATAAAGATCCTTCCATGTAAAATGCTTCTGAAGTGCCAGATGTTTCTGCTGCTTTCTGTCTATGCTTTCCGGAGCTGTGGTGGAATAAAAGATTTCAAGCCAAGCTGTGGTTTTTGTATTCTCCTCTTGCCAAGGGAAACCCAGTGTCCAGAGGAGCTCTGCACCCAAGCTGGTTTTTAAGCCATTGATGTGAAACATGTGCATGCACTCTTGCACCAAATACCTGTTTACAAAGGTGTTCTTTAGACAGAAGTGTTATATGCCCTGAGTTTGGTCAGTTAATCTCAGTACATAGCTACAGTATTAAGTATCTTTGTGTTATGCGCATGTGAAAGTCTGGAGGACTGAACTGCGGATATTGAGTGAATAATGTGCATTAATGTGATGTTGTTTCTTGATACTAGCAAAGCCAGTAGTGGTGAATGCAACCCCGGTGCGGATGTCTGTTCCCATAGTGCCAGCACAGACTGTGAAACAGGTAGGCTTGATGTAAAGGCATGTTCCTGACTTACTTTGTCCAGATGGAAAAAAAGTCCAGTTTCAGCACTATAATGAAATGTTCTGTTAATAAAAGTGCATTCTGAATCAGCAAAACAGTGATTTCATAAAGACCTTTTCTCTGCAGGTGGTGCCCAAACCAATCAACCCAACTTCCCAGATAGTTACTACTAGTCAGCCCCAACAAAGACTTATTATGCCAGCCACTCCATTACCACAGATACAGCCCAACCTCACCAACCTCCCGCCTGGCACTGTACTGGCACCAGCACCTGGCACAGGAAATGTTGGGTATGCAGTCCTTCCAGCTCAGTATGTCACACAGGTATGGTGTTAACCCAGAGATAAATAAGGAAATAGTGCTGTTGTGGAACATACTGCCTTCCTCTTAAAGGTTTTTGCTCCCCAACTGTCACCTCACACTAAGGAGACAGTTTCTTTTAGGGATCCTTTGTGGAATGATGACGGCACTAAATCATGGTTACAATTAAAGCTTTATTAACAGGATTTTTTGATTAGCATAGCATAAAATTTAGCATAGCACAGGATTTCTATAAGCAGAATCAGTGTAGTACAATTTTTTAAGTAGCATAGTACAGAATTTATAATACAACTTATTTCTAATCACCTAGACTTTAACTTACAATTTCTCATCACCTAGATCCTCTGCAGATCGGGTCAGATTTCATATGTGATCTGCTTTACCAGTATAACAATCATAATCTAGACTCAAAAATCATATAAAAGAATGAGTCACTCAATCCTCAGAAGCAGATGGCAGTGGAGGCGTGTCTGGTCACCGGCACAGGTCACAGGTCTTACTGTCCAGCAGCAGTTTCGGTCCAAGTTCCTCACTTAAGACTTGTAACTGCTTGGTTTTATAGACAGTACTCTGTGTACTGTTACGCTTCCCTGTTCTGTGACAGGGTCATCACCACCACCTGGTTGTCTGGGTGCCTGAGACCTTCACGGGCAGTAAGGAAGGGAATAATCGGCCTGGTGCCCAGGAATCTCGCGACCAGTAGCGAAGGAAAGAAGAAATATGTTTGGTTTGTCTACTTGGTTCACAGGACCTTCAAGGCCTGATAATGAGGGGAAATGGAATGAATATGTGAACTGCTCAGTCACACAGAATAGCTGCTTGCATTATAAAATGGTATTAGTTATGCTGACCATGTTACCAGGGGTCAACAGCAGGCGGTACTGGTCATACCAACCCAGGTCTAGGGATTATTTTTTTGCTCTTTTCCAAGACCTGACTAATATTCAGAATGAAAAGGAGAATAAATTAAAAGTTCTCCTGAAGGCTGACCAACCAGTCTGTATAAACAAGTCTGTCAGCTCATGGCATGACTGGTACCAACCTCATTTCTGGTTCCCTTCTGGTTTTGTCACAGCTGCAGTTTGACCCTGAAGACTCTTAACTGTGTCCTTCCAGTCCAGTTCCACAAATCTTACCTTAAACTAAATAATACTGTTTATTGGACCTTTCCTCAGAGGTTCTGTGTTCCAGACACAATCTGTCCCCTTTGACCTGGCACAGTAGGTCCATATCTTGTTATATGCCAATCTGTCTTCAGAACCTGTGCGAACAGGAGAAAATGGCTGTGTGTAGGTAATACAAAAGAAGGTAGCCCAAAACAGTGTCATTTGGCAGATTCTGATGAGGTTTTGTTTTTTTAATGTGAAAACATACGCTGTGGGTCCAGGTATACAGAGAAGTTGGAATGTAAATCATTTTACTTGCTTTTATTTAATTCCGTAATAGCTGGCTTGTATATTAAGGAAGCTACTAAAGTAATTTGTGCAGGAAGTGATCCTGCTCTATTCGGGACAGGATTGCTTAGGAAAAGAAGGGGGGAAATGAGCATGTTTTTAGGAGCTGGAACTGTTTGTAGTCTGAATATTTCTGCGTGTAATCTCTGTGTTTTCTGTATGTCTGTAGATGCTAATAGAGAACAAAAATGTAATCTAAAATAACGTTTTTATGCTAAGTATGGAGGCAGGAGGTTGCTGCCTTGTCTACAAATGCCTAAAACTGTGCTTACAAACGTATTATTCTTATAACAATATCTTGAAAGCTAATTAAAAGACTAGCTACACATCCTCTTGTGTATACTATATTTTATGAGTTAACCTTTTTGTTTTGTTAGCTACAACAATCATCATATGTATCTATAGCAAGCAACACTGGCTTTACAGGGACATCTAGTACCCAGTCCCAAGCACGGCTACCATTCAATGGGTGAGTGTTTTGCGGTGGGGGAAAGAACCACCACCACCAAAAAAAAACCAAACCAAAAAAACCCAAACCAAACAGTCTGAACGAGCTTATGAATGAGCGTCTTCTTTCAGTCCCATTATAAGGAAGGGTAGGAGCTGAGGTGTTGGGGTTTGATTTGGGGGATTTTCCAAGAAAATCAAGTATACTGTGGTGTGGTAATTACCTCTGGCTAAAACCCATGGATCTGTCTGACAATTGAGCTGGTCTCTTGATCAAAGCTGTGTTTTCCTTTCTGTTTTTGAACTCATGTAATAGAAAGTTAACCTGAAAGCTCCTTGTTGCTCATTCTTCATTTTGCATCAGCAGCTGGGAGCTGCAGGCCTCCATTATTTCTCAGCATTGCTGGAAAGAGGTGCTGGACAATATCGGAGCTAGATGCTTAGCCCATGCAAAAATCCAGCCAAACAGCAAAATGGGACTAAAGCCCAAAATGGATCCTGATAGGAGGCTTTGGGGTTTTTTTTCAGTCTTGTATTTTTCCTTGAAGGATGAAAATAATGGCTAACACATGTATTACTTTCCCTTTGCCAATCCAGCAGGCTTAGCTGTTTTGCACAGTTCTTCTGTGTTATTGTTTGCTGGAAATTGTAAATGCCAGGATGCTTTTTGTTGCTGCAGCCTTAACAGATGCAAACTAATCCCAAATCCAGATGCAGCTATTCAAACAAATGGGTTTGCTTTAATCTTCCTGGTATTACATGCAGAAATTGCTGGATAGGGATGGAACGAATCTCATCAAAGGCGATTAGTAACACAAAATCTGAGTTTTAAGAGCAGTTAAAGACTGTCTGATATAAAATGTATCTATAAACTGAATACCGTGTTTTGGCATGCTTTCCCATTATTCCAGAGCTTTCTTTTTTAATTTCAGCTAGAACAAAAGGAAAGGCACAATCATGTTGCATGAACCTTCATTGCATCTAGTCCCTCTGCACAGGTTCTGGGGAAGTTTTCCCTGATTCCACTTTTCAGTTATGAGGCTTCCTCTAGCTTTAAGCCTCATTTCTACTTCAGGCAAGCAACCAGATTTGCAGCAAATAAACCAGCTCTTTCTGGGTTGAAAAGGCACTATATAAAGACACTATATATAATGGTTACTTAAATGCAGTCAGCCAAAAACCTAATGGAAGGGGAATATAAAGATTTTTTTTTTTTTTAATTTTTATTATGAGCTATTTACTTGAATTTAAAATAGGAAGAAACTGATAAAACAGTGTGCATGTATATAACTGCACTTTTTCCTCCCACAGAATAATTTCTTCTGAATCTGCAAACCGCCCAAGGAAGCCTTGCAATTGTACTAAGTCTCTATGTTTGAAATTGTAAGTACAGCTTGGTTTTGTCTGTTTTTTTAAGCCTTATTTTTTACACCACAAATTTATGTCAAGTATCAGAATATAATGCTTTTAAATATGTCAGAAATATTATGTCATCTAGACATAATTTAAGGTTGCTGTTGATATTGGTGGAGATGTTGCAGTGCCTGTGTAATTTTGCAGCTCCTGTGACCTATATGGACCCTAACATTTTAGAAATTTCTAACTTGGCAGCCTTGTTGCGTGGTGGAGCCAATTCCATTCAGCAGCTGTAGTTGTGGTGTTGTTGCTATGAGTGAAAAGACATGCTATGGCATCATCAGTGGGTATCTACTATACTTTGGTGAAGTGCATCAGTACTACCATGCTGTATCAAGTACTTCAGAAAAATTTGGTTCTGTATCTTTTCTTAAATGACTGAACAGACAAGTGATTCTTCACTATTAGGTCTGAGTCTTGCTCATCCTCATGAGATATTTTGCTATTCCATTCAGTAAGCATTTTAAGGTGAGGAGATGCTAAGTTTCCGTAACTTGAGGCAAAGACAGTTTACAGGTTTTTGGGACAGTAACAGGAAGAGATACTGAAACTAATCTGTGGTTCCCTGAATCCTAGAAGAGGAAATTGGTGGTGTGTGAAATTTGATGGGTGTGCCCCTACATCAAAGGGAAAATGATGCAACAGTATCTGAACCCAAGTTAAGAAGTGTGTTTAAACTTTTCAGCTTGTATTTCTTTTTGTGTAATGCACCCCACCTCTGTGAGGTATGCCCTGTGCTTCCTAATCTCAAAATTCTGTTGCACTGAAGACATAGTAAATGCAAAGATGTGTAGCTGTGTTTTCAGATGTTTTACAAAATACATGACTGACTGTATGAACATACATGCCAAATATGTGTTCAATGCTTAGGGTTTTCAACTTACTTTAGTCTTTGGCATCTGAATGCTCTAGAAATTCCGGGAGAATAATGGCATTGCTGATGATGCTTTGCACCTTTAGAATGCTGTTTGGAAACAAACTTTTGTTGTAAATTATTGTAGTTATATCTTTAAGTGACTGGACATTGGTGCAGAGCAAATGGCTAATTCACTCTGGCAAAGGTGCCGTCTCCCTAGTAAAACTTTTTCCCATCTGGAAGGAGAGCTGCTTTTTCCCAAATGAATGTTGAAGGTAGGGACATAGCCTATTCTACAAAGAAGAGAACTCGGAGAAGTTATTTGCTCACTGATGCTCTGGGTTGATGCTGGCACTGTTTGTTTTAGAAACCAGGACCATTCCATTACTGAATTTTAAACAGGACAGAAGGAAGAACTATTACAGGTTGTAAAAGATTTTTTATGTAGTTTATCCCTGGCACAATTCAGGATGCTAAAAATCACCAAAATGCAATTCAACCAAGTGAAAGGTTGTAGTGGACTCCAGGGCAACCCTAATCTGGTTCTTGTAGTGTTACCCTGGGCAAGCCACAGGAAGCCAGTTTTGCAAGGGGTTTAGGCTCCTAAAAATGAACATATGCTCCCAGCAGGATGTGAAAAGCAACTGAGGAGGATCAGCAGTTTCCATCAGCTATAGCTGGAGGTGGTACTGGAAGCACTGAAACATGCCAGAGTTTGTTGTGGCCCAAAGCCACGTTTGAGCTGGGAGTAAATGTGGTGCTTCCATGTATCAGATCGGTGGGATGGTGAGATCTTGCTTTTTGGTAGGAGGTAGCAGAGGTACATAAGAGGCATGACAATGTGATTGGCTTTTCCTGTCAATGTTTTGCTGCTTTTTATTCACATACTTTTCCCTTTAAAGTCTCTGGTAACTACAGCTTTATCCTCATTCAGATCATTTCCCTAGTTACCTGTGCTTCAAAGCCTGAGGTGTAGCACTTGTTATTCCTTTTTTGTTCTTCCATCCCTGCTTTGGTGAACTCTGCCTCAGTTCACAGCTGCAAACAGCTTATGGGCAAAACTTAACAAAAAAAGGCTCCTTGCTGTGTTACTCAGTTTGCCTGTTGATTGGCACTCGAATTGTTTGTCTTTTTGTTAAAGCTGTATGAGAGCTCCTGAAGGCTCATTTGAACTGGTTGGGTCAGGAACTGGCTGTGAGGTGGCTGTGGCAGGATGGCCCTCAATATGTGGGTCAGTCACCCACGAGTCACCCTAGAAAAAAGTCTCATTAGCTTCTCTTGCTGTGATGGAGACCTCTGCTATGTGAACATCAGCTCAGACTGACACCCTTGAGCTATACCTGTGTCTTCAGGCAGCAACTAGATCTGCATTAGAGGATTTAGGCCTTGCAATGAGGCTGATACCCCTTGTACACGTGGAGTTGAGCATAGGGTGACCCTTACCCTTATTTGTGCATGTGTATATCACTAGACTGGGATCAGTACTGCCATCAGTACTGATACCACTGTAATGGTCATGTTTACAAAAGCCTTCTGCATCTTCTGTTTCAGGTATTGTGATTGTTTTGCAAATGGTGAATTCTGCAATAACTGCAACTGTACAAATTGTTATAACAACCTGGACCATGAAAATGATAGGCAAAAAGCAATAAAGGTGAGGAGCCTCTTCCCTGGCCCCTGGGATGAAAGCCACTTAGCTTGTATCTTCTGAAGCTACGGGCAGGGCAGAGTGGGTTTATAATGCCCTGATCTCCTCCCACATGTGCAAGGCTTAAGTTCTTTTATTGCGCCTCTAAATTCTGCTCCCTGAATGCAGTGACTGACCCTTTGGGTCTGCATTGACAGGCCTGCCTTGACAGAAACCCTGAAGCCTTCAAGCCCAAAATAGGGAAAGGAAAGGAAGGAGAATCGGATCGGAGACACAGCAAAGGCTGTAACTGTAAACGCTCGGGATGTCTCAAAAACTACTGTGAATGTTATGAGGTACGAAGCATTATCTCATCTTAAAGATACTGACTTTTTCCCTTTAGTGCTGCAACTTCTCTGATTTGCTTTGTCTCTTCTTTGCATTGCTATAATGTTTTCTCTTCTATTATTTTCTATTACTGTAATGTTATCTCTTCTTCCAGCACTTTCCATGTAGAAAGCCATGTATATGGCAAAATTCATCACTTCTGTGGTCTAAGTTTAATTTTAAACCATGTAGCAACTTTGAACTTAGGCTTGGATTTGTCCTTTACTGAAGAGCAGTATTTCCTAAAGAAATCTACTGCACCAAATCTGTAGGAGGAGTTGAAGCAGCATCCCACAGACACTCTGGGATAGAACACGTCTGTGGAAGAAAAAAGCAAAAGTTGTTGTTGCATCAGCTAACTGATCAGTCTAGATGTAAAGACAGTGGCAGACTGACATCTCTTGTAGCTCAACCATCTAAATTCCACCAGCAACAATGGTTTGAAGAAAGGGATGAGTGGGAACCCATTGATATGCCTTTGATTCAAGTATCCATTCTGGGAAGGCATCTCAGATTGAGGTGAAAATTTGGAGATAAAACTACTATGTGGGGGTTTCTTCTAGTGGCTAATTGGTAAGAGATTAAAACACGTTCTCGTTTTCATTGTGGCTTATCATAAAGGGAGTCAAGATTGCAACAGGTTTCTCATGTTTTGTTTTCTTTCAGGCAAAAATCATGTGTTCTTCCATATGCAAATGCATTGGCTGTAAAAATTTTGAAGAAAGTCCAGAGCGAAAGACATTGATGCATTTAGCAGATGCTGCAGAAGTTAGGGTCCAGCAGCAGACCGCTGCAAAGACCAAGTTATCTTCCCAGATCTCTGATCTGCTGACAAGGCCAACACCAGCACTGAGCAGTGGTGGTGGGAAGTAAGTTAATGCAGCACCCCATTTCAGTTGCTTCTAACGTGTTTCTTCTGATGTATGACAGGTATGTTGCTGTCATCTTTGAGTGTTATCTGTGTAAGCTGTAGAAGCAAGAGCACTCAGATGAAGGGAGCTTTTTGTTCACACAACGATGCTTTCTGTGGAACCTATGGTATGCCAAGCTTAGCTCTGTTCAAGCACATAACTAAGCGTTGTCTTCTCATAGTTGCTTATGTGCAACAGAAAGCATGACGTCCAAGTGTTCCATTTACTGGGAAGATGTAATCCTTGAGCTGCCCTTATAGTAAAAGCTGGAGAATTGTTCTATGTACCTGGGTATTTCAAAATGTACATCAGTGAAGGGAGGCACCAAAGCACAATGGCCCACCAGTTCATTTGGCTGTAGCTGTGTCTTATTCACTCCCTGTTGGTAGTCTAAAGGCTCTTGGAAGCAATGGAGCAGCTGAAATCTCATCAGTCCTTGTACTAAAAAGTTGCCTAGCCCTGGAATTAGGTGCATTGTGTGTTTTTGCTGATAGTGAGTGGATATTTCTTTGTTTCAGGCTGCCCTTTACGTTTGTGACAAAGGAGGTAGCTGATGCAACCTGCGAATGCCTTCTCGCACAGGCAGAGCAAGCAGAGAAGATGGGCAAGTCAAAAGCTGCAGCAGAGCGCATGATCCTGGAAGAGTTTGGACGCTGTTTGATGAGAGTTATTAACTCTGCAGGGAAGTCAAAAAGTGACCCTTGTGCCATGAACTGCTGACTCGTGCACATGAGCCACAACAAAGCGGACTGAACAGAACACTTAAGGCACAGGGACACTTTGGTTTGGTGTAGAGGATTTAATAATATTTGTTAATTTGGTGCTTGTTGTTAATTGACTTGCATAAGACTGAAACAAGAAGATCTTTTATAACAAGATGTAGAGCCTTTTAAATCTTAGCAAAATCCTCTTCTACTTAAGAAAATGCCTAAAGGTCAATTCTTCTTCCCAATGTACAGCTTTTACCTTGGGTTTCTTAAAAATTAGATGTGTTCTCCCCTCTCCCCCAGAATAATTGCCTGAAGGGCATATATAAATTATTATAATATATATTATTTACAGTGTATGGAGTTGCATCACTTTGTGCATACAGGAAAACACGGGTGATGTCAACAGCCAGGTGACACTTTTGGCAACAGGCCCGTAATAAGGAAGTATCAGTGTATTCAAGATAGTTCTGAAAGGAAGTGTGTAAAAATGAGTATCTAAATGGGAGGTAGCAGTTGTATTTAGCACCTGAAACAGTATGTCTCTTTAGTGCATGGAGCACTGTGAAATAGATGGGTTGCTTGCGGACTTAGCATTGGGCAAGTGGTGGAGAATCTTGCTGGAGCAGGGCCCAAGGCGTTTAGAGGCAAATGGAATTAATGGGAGTTTTTTGATAGGAATGTGGCTGAGAGCTCAGATGTTTCTTAAGCTGGAATTGGAAGGCTAAGACAGTGACCTGTTCTCAAAAGTGAGGAAGAGTAGCCATGCCACAATGCTGGACTGTCTGCCCAGTGTACAGGGTTACCTAAGCGTGCAGCAGATGGATGCTGTTGCTTAGGTGAAGCTTGCTTTTTCAGAGGTCTGCAGCACCCTAATCCCTCACTGGAAGTAAGGCTGTGCAGTCTATTGTGTTTTCTAGGATCGAGCTGTAACCCTGGAAAAGTGTTTTAAGTCTGAGAAGCTGAGTTCGCTTGAGACAGTGGAACCATAGTTGTCTTAATAAGGACTTGAGACAATCTGCATCTAAATCAACTTGCAAATGCAGGTAGGGATCATGTTCAGCCTGGTTGTGGGTCTTCAGGATACTGCTTCTCTATTTTGGAAATTTACTTGGTGTAAGGGGTTTTTTTTTAGTGTTGTTCAGAATGACTGTGAGAGCTGTGATCAGAGAGCGCACTAGCACGGAATCATGATTGCTACAAAAACAGACAGATGGATTCTTTTACACAAAGCAGCGGGGACAGGGGGAATCAACTAGAGCTGTGTATAGACTTGGGCAGGGCAGTTTTTCAGTATTTGTTACAGGCAATCTCAGATCACATTTTTGATAGTGGGACATATTTGCAAAATTAACCTGGTAGGTTACTTACCTGCCATGGATGTCAATAAGCATGTTTAATCACTGACATTTTTATTACCTGTCTTACTGCAGCCTGAGCTAGCTAGGTTTTTCCAAAAGGGATTTTGTATTCCTCATGTAAAATTGTAAATATAGGGAAATGCAGCAGAGCTCTTCCTCCAAGTTTTCTAGCAGGGCCGGGCTGGGGAAAGGTAGAAGCTAGACAAACCAGCAGCAGAGCTAAGTGCCTACATGTGTGACGGCAATAGGATGAGAGGATGCCTCTACTCCTGTCTTCATCCCACGGTCCTGTGCACTGAGCAGAAGGCCCTTTCTCCTTGACACTTCTCTGGTGCCTCTGTGAAATGCCTTGGGGGTGTGAAGGGCCTGGGAGATGGCCAGCAGTGGTGGCAGGCCCAGTGAGTGGTCAGTGCAGACAAGGTTTGACCTGCTAGTCACTCTCTGAAGGTCCTGTCTGCTATTAACATCTCCCTGACCATAAATAACAAGTATATTTGTGTAAATCTTTGAAAAGGGAGTCCACCTCTCATGTAAGTAAATGCCATTTTTTTCATAATTAGGACTTGGATTTACTAAAAAAAAAAATCAGTGCAGTAACTTTACATGTAGATAGTGCGGATATTCAGTTTACTTCTAGTGACCTAATATAGTATGTCCAGTAAGATTTGTATAAATGTAAATTAGTGTAAGTGAATAAAGTAATACTTACGTTATTTTTCAAACAGATTGCAATATGCCTTCTTTTGTTTAGACTTCAATCCATGTTAATTTTGTATATATTCCATGTCTTACTATAAATTGCACCTTTTGTGATGTGTATTTATATACAGTGTGCAAAAACACTTGTGAAATTTAGATTACAGTTGTAATTATGTATGATGGCATTGCTTGAGAATATTTTGCTTGTAAAGACTTTGAAGGTGCAATCAAAAGCTCTTAGTTCTTCTATTTTGTTTTGAACAAGCTTTCTCAAAATTAAGCTTGGATTCCTCTCTCCTCTCTCCCTGGAGTAGAATGTGTGAATTGGTTTTTGTACTTCCTTAGCCATTTGCATCAAACTGCTGGACGAGATTTACAGTCAAGTTCATCCAGTTAGATAAAAATAATTGGGAATGGGGCAAGGGTTCATTTTCTAGTTCTGTTTACATCTGAAAGTAGAAAAATTAAATTTATATTTACTAGACCTATTCAAAGAATACACTTTTCTATATTGTACAAATAAAACAGTCAGATAAATCACAAAGAAAAATAAACATTTATACTATTCTGTAAATACGAATTTTTTTTTTTTTTTACTCCTTCAGCACTGACAAATATACACAGAAGATTTTCACTGAAATATCAGAATAAATCTATTAACACTAGGCCCACTTCTGATGCAAGTACTGGCTTGGATTTTCAATATGAGATCGAATCCTATCAGAGATAAACCCTTGGTTACTGGTGTACTGTCCACGCATAGCAATTTATGGCACATTGTGGCACAGTTCATAAAGATCCAAATGTGTCAACCAAGCCAGCTCCAGGTAGTTGAGCCCATGTGATAATTTCTTTTAAACTCTTTAATGAGAAAGCATAGTTTTTTCACACGCACTGGCTGGACAAGAGTTAGGCTCAGACTGAGCAGAAAGATGTGCAAGTCCATTCTGCAGCATCTTTGAGGACAGCAGGGTGCTACATAGAGCTCATGGAGGACCCTGGGCAAAAATTTGAGGCAAAGCTTTGTCAAGAGCCTTAGACTGTTTGTTATCATGCAAGGCACTGTTTTCTTGTGGCATTTGTGTCTTTAGTTTGTCTCTTGGGGAGGAAGTTTGTGAGCAGCTCTTGCAAAGCTGTATTACTCAGTTGCATTAAGGAATACAAGTCAGTTAAGAGAGCTTGTGGTTTGTTTCTGCAAAGTAAAACCTGGTTTTATTTTTGTGCATCCAATTTCTACGTTCATCTCTCTTTAGCAGCTTGGTAAACATAGTACATGATCAATGCTTAGGGATTCTTAGGAGCATTGTTAGGATACTGAATGAATGGAAGATGTTACTGGACTGAGCTTTTCACTCCTAGCACACTAGCTGCCCCGAGAGAAAGCTTACTGTTGGTTACTTTAGGCTGCAGTAGAGGACTGAAAGAAGCAATGAGGTGCTCAAAGTGACTTAGGGGTGGGTTTGTATGGACCTTACGCAGGGCATCATGCTAGCAAGAGTGAGGGTGTTTCAGACAGAAATGGTGAATGTCTGAACAAGGAGTTGCTGGGAAGAGAAAGCAGTGTCCAAAAGACACTGTGGGAAAAGGAGTGGTGCAGAAAATCACTTGGTCTCAAGTGTGGAGTTATAAGTGATGAAAAATTCCAATGAAACCTGACAGTTCTTGCAGTGTGAGTACAGCCAGCAGTATCTCTGGTGGGCAACAGCAGGTCTGTATTTTTGGAAAATAATGGCAATTGGTACAGGGTTCCTGTAACAACTGTCAAGCTTTTTTATAATATTGGGTAGCTTTGTTAATGAGAGAACTGCCACACTTTTTTCTAATAATGTGCTTTTTGCTCAAACATTATCCTACCAAGCCCTCTAAGACTTCCCTCAACATCTCTTGAAAACCTCAGTCACCAATATTTCAGTGAATTACAAATGGATGTGTGAACTGTGGTGGTCATGGGTACGGGTAGGCCAGCCACAGGAATGCACAGAGCCTGACGTCAGCCTATATGTGCAGCGGTCTCGGGCTCAGTGCACCGATCGGCAGCGACTGCACAAAACCCATGAGCAATTCTGAGGTTGGGAAGTCCTGTGTGCAGCACGCCTGCCATGTTCACAACTTCACCCCAGCTTTTGTACATCTTTGTGCAAAAGCTTTCCATTCAGGAGGAGGCTCAGTATGAATTGAGCAAGACAAACTCCCTCAGATGTAAACAGGAACTGGCAGCAGGCTTTATGTTCAGCCAAAAAAAAATGCACAGTGAGTTAGTGCCTGTTCCCTATGGCTCAGCTCAGATTGGGGCTGGAAGTCTAGGCAATGCAAATTTTACAACATTACGTGAGCGCAACCAATCTACCACTGGGATTTCAGCAGCATTTTTCCAGTTGTCCTAAAAATTGCATATATATGGGTGGGAAATAGTTTCCTGCAGAGTCTCTTGTTGCTGGAATGGCTCCATGGCAATGACAGCTTCAACATGTTTTTTTGCGTAGGTAATTGGACTGGGGAAAAAAAAAGTCTAGAGGCTTTGGTTTGCTGCTCCTAGCAGAGAACACATGAAGTTCTGCCGTACTACTTCTCTCAGAGGTTGAGGAATTGCATGCAGGAGCTCTGTTCCCACTGTGAGTAGGACTAAGCGGAGGAGGAAGAACCCAAACCACCCAGGGACAATTTCATCAAGTCACTGGTAGGCAGAATAGCACCTTGAAAATATTCCTGCCCTGGGACATGGTGGATCACCATTTTCATACCATCTCTAACATGCAGCTCAAAAGTAACTGAACAGCCAGAGTTTTGTGAGAAGTAGTTGCCTTCCATCTCTATGGATGCAACTGCTGTTCTGCACGGCAAAGCTAAGCCATTGAGCAGCAGTTATATGAAACTTTGCTATTTCAGGTAAAGCACTGCATACCAAGGCAGCTTACTTGCCATAGAAATGAACTGACTGAAGAAGCCTGTCCTACTTGGTGGCATCAAATCTATGATTCAAGTAATCAGGGGAAACATCTGAAAAGGAGACTGCCTCATGCCTTGGGCTGCAGGACACCTGCCAACTCTGGGAGGAAGGGAATGTGTAATGGGACCTGAAAAGCTTGCCCAGCTACAGCACCAGTGCTGGTGCCTGGGGTTCCTGCCCAGAGGGTACGGTGTCAGTGCCCCTGGGTGCTGCTGGGCACAACAGCTTGTCCCCAGCCTCAGCACTGCCCTCCCACCATCATGGACAACAGCCTCTCTGCTTAGCATCCACTACCTCACATGTAAAACATGGGGCTTTAGGGGTGCAGTTTGATTTTTGTAGTCCTGCCTCCAGGGGATCTAGACTGAAACAGCTTGTTTAGCTGTTTGATGAGACATGGAGTAGAGATTATAGAACTCGTGTACAACTTGAGTGTCACTTTCTTTTCACATCTTTATTTTCTTTCAGTAAAAGCTCTGCAACCTTTCTTGCCTCAGCTTTTTTAAAGCAGATCTGCTTTGGTGAAATCAAATCACCAGCACACATGATGCCACCAACCATATGGAAGATGCCTCAACTTCCTCTTGGCAAGAGTACTCACAGCACTAAGCCACCCAGCATCTCCAGGGGACACTCTGCAGTGTCCCCTACCACTTTCCCAGGCATCCTGAGCAACCATTGCTCATCCTGATCTGCCATGCGAGTCTCATGAAATATGTGGCTGCTTTGCAGGATTGCTAGATGGAACACAGCATCAGATGAACTTCTTGCTTTGCTCAGACAAACTGAGTGGCTCAACACATCACTGCTTATCAACACCAGTTTTGCTGGCAAAATCATATGAAGACACCACATCATTTCCTTGCATGTGTTGCCTTGAACTGTCTATTACTGAGCCTCATAAGGGACAGCCATCCTTGGAACAGCAATGAGTACTCATGACCCTGCATGGGTTTGGCTTGACTGACAGCTACCCAGTGGTGATGGAAACAAATGTTTACCCTTCAGTATCTTCAGTCTGTGCCTTCCACAATGGTATTCCAAGTTCAGGTGTTTGGCATGGTTTATTCTGATGTTTAGGTAACATCGTGTTATTTCCTTTACTAAGATTGTGTAGTGATTGTTGATGCACAACTCTCTATCAAATAAATGGTTTGTGAGGGTGGGGAAGAGGGGATTTTCTCCCAGAAGCTCCTGGAAGACTTTCTGTTCTAGAGACAAATGCCATAGCTTGGTGTTTTTGTTAGAGTCTTCTACTTTGCCATACCTGTTTAGGACTTGTTCCAAAATGCTTGTTATGTGGTACACACTTGCTGAGGGCAGACTCACTCCACCTAACTTTTTTATGTAGAGCACTGACCCACATCTTAGCCTGCTCTCACCTGACTCAAACAGGGAAGCAAGACAAGCCTCGCATTGCAAGTCAGAGGCTAATTGCTCAGCAACAATGCCTGCAGCACAAGTAACACTCTGTGCATACAGTGATAGGTCTGTCAGCGCGTTACTCAGTGCAGAGCCATGCAAAAGAAGGCCTGCACAACAGGGGTACTCTGTTGCCAGTGTCCTCCCACAACCTGGGTTAATCTGAGCACGAATGCTGCCAAGGGTCAGATCTCTCCTACGAGACAGAGATATGTCCAAGGAGCTCATAGTGCCAGAGATACCACTATGTGGTGAGACTGGTGCGAGGCTACAGCTGGCCAGCAGTTTGTGATAAGCAGCCCGGAACACAGTGCAAGTGGGGCTCCCACTACTGCCGCAGGCTTGCTTGAGGGCCCCGAGGAACAGCTCGAGTGGGTCAAGGGTCAAGGCGGAGGCCAGGATGTGGTGGGAAGGAGTGCCTTCTGGACACACATAGTTGACGTAAAGCCACTTGAGGCTTTCAACATTGAACAAGAAACTCAGAAATCCTAGTTTGCGTTTGCTCCTAATAATGTATCTCCCCATCGAATCTGTTAAGGTGATGAAGAAGCTCTTGGCCTCATTAAAGAGCTGGCTTATTTTGGTGTAATTTCCAGCTAGCAAAGGCCCCTTCAGTCCCCTTCTGTAGGGGCCTCTGCCATGAAATATGTCGCACAGATGGCTCATAAAACGCACAAACCTGACTGTACCACTGCAGTTCTGGAATGAGGCCAGGCCCAGCTTCTGAAGGTGTTCCAGCGCATCAGCAACACCCTCGCTGAACAACATGGTGGCAAGGTTGACCTTCAGGTGGTAACTCTCACTGCCAGGTCTGCCTGACTTGGGACTGCATGGCTCTAACACCCTCTGCTCCCGTAAAGCTGCCAGCTCCACCACATGCTGCCACTGCACAGTGTCACTGAGACACTCAATCTTCCGGAAGCACTGCAGAGCATTCCTTATCAGCTGGAGTGCATGGCAAATGTCGAAGAAGTACGTGATGCTGTGAGCAGAGCCAGGTGGATGCTGGAAAGTGCACTGGATCCTTTCAGGATCTAACCTGATCCCCAGAGCTCTGGCGGTCTCAGCACCACGAGCGGTGGTGCCTGACGTCACAGCCAGCACTGTGATGCTGATGTTGTTCAGCTTAGTGATGGTCTGACGAAGCAGCTGAGCAAGTAAGTGGCCGGTCATACTGTTCACGAAGAAGTAGCCAAGTGGAGCTGTCCAGGGACTTGAGACGCCAACTGCCATGAGGATTATCGCTTCTGAGGCCAGTGGAGCTTCGTCAGCATCAAGGACACCTGCTCCCAAGTCAACAAAGCCTGTCAGGCTCTGGGTCTGAGGGTCCCACTCCTGCTGCTTCTGTAGGGACATTTCTTGTACCATCAGGGCACAGTAGCGGTAGGCCTGTTCCCCTCTCTCCACCTTTTCCTGAAGGTCGAGAAAAATTGCATTGCTGAAGCCTGCAGCAGCCTCATTGTTAGACAGCCAACTGGAAAAAAAGGGAGGATACAATCAGGAGACTTGATTCTGAGAAAACTGAAAGAACAGTCAGCACCTTTTACCACTTACAACATGGTCAGCCATGTCCAGAGCTGCAGAGCAGGCTAAGACACCAGAGTATAAAGCAAGCAGCCCTGCCTTTCTCAATACACAGTCTGAGTTTCTTTTCTTACACCCTAGTGATGGGAAGTAACAAAACAGCTTCCTGCTTCTCCAATGTATAGGAGATCAGGACAACAGGCAAAAAAACCCCAAAAAACTAAACCAAACACAGAAGTGCAAATCAGGCTATGCAGAGGGCCAGCAACACCAGGCTGCTCTCCTTCCCAACTGGCTTTTTCTACACTGTACATCTTAATCCAGTTTAGAAGATGTGAAAGCCTTGGCAGCCCATGTAGAATGCTCGGTTCACTACCTCCTGGCACTTCTTCGAGAACATTCTTTGGAGGAAGCTGTGTGAAACCCCCACAGGCTGGCATGGACACAGTGTGTGTCTCTTGGGCATCCTCAAACTGCACATGTGCCAGTGTGGTAAAGCACCTCTGCTTTTTTGTATTCCTCCTTCCTCCCCAGTGAACAGTAAAACACATATAGACTCTACAGAAGCTGAGGCCCTGTACTCCTCTGTGAATACTTAGCAAACTCCACAACTATCCTAAAATTGTTGATATGAGGAATGTGTAATTCTCATGCTGTGACCCACATGCACGAAAACTACCAGATCTCTGAGATGAGGGGTATCAGTATTTCTTGTCATTTGCTTCCCACTCCACCTCTGTTACTAAAACAAAGCACGGAAAAACTACTGCTGAATGTTTTCAGGACAGATCTGTTACACCTATTTCTACATGAGTACCTGGAAACACATTCAGAATAAATGAATTAATAGAAACTTGCTTTGTCAGGCTGTAAGGATGAGGGAGGGGCAAAATCTTCCGTAGATAATCATAGGCCTTAACATGGTAGAGGTGGAGAATACAAGCAAATTGCCTCATTTCTGGTGAGTATTCTGACATCTGCCTCCAGCTGTGCAACTCACAAGGCAAATCTGCTTAAAAAAAAAAAACAGGAGGTCAGATTTAATGAAGCAAATAAATAGCTGATAACTTAACAGAGGGATGCATAAAACAAACACATTGCAGAATACAAGGCAACAGGGAGACCTCCGGAGCCACTGGGTCCTGAAGTCTGGTGTGAAGTGTACAACTCAGTAACACTATTACTGTGCCTCACCTCTCCAGGGCCAGGCAGTGGCCAGGTCCACAACACATCTTTTCCCCTCTTTTCCTATCTAATGTCATCCACAGCTTTGAGTAAAGACTGTATCTTAAATGCAGCTGCTTAAAAATAGACATAACAGGAGAGAAGCCATTAACTTACAGTTGACTCAGCAATTTGAAATGGCTTCTTTGGGTTATATTATCAATGTTAACAGAGCTCACTCCTGGACAGCACAAAAGACAAGGTTTTCCTAGTTAAATATACTCTATTCTTGAGTCATCCATCAGCTGAATAATGGCACGGTTTGATCTAACAGTCTTGGTTATAGGTCTGACCTAAGCACTATAGCCAGCCTCAAGTAATTGAATTTTTCAGGGAAATTTTAATGTTTTGCAGGATTGGTTGTTGCTTTTGGACCTACAAATCGCAAAGCCTTTGTGCTATAGCATTGGACCTAGAAGTCCAACAATCTGGGATTACCGGTATCACAAAGTCAAACAAACACATAAAACTGACGCAAGGGAGTACAGAACCTGAAGCACTCTGCCTTAACAAACGCCCCCAGCAGTACCTGAAAACTGGGCCTGCAGCAAACTCACGGTTTCCTCAGAAAGCTGCTGCTTCTCCACCAGCTCCCGGAGGATGTTCGCCACCGTTCTGGGCCGGTGCGCGGGGGAGCATCGCCCGGCCGCAGGGAGCTCCTGCTGCCGCGGGGCCTCCA